TCTGAACACGCTTCTGGGAGTGTTAATAAACACTTCCATTTATATAACACAAGCAGAGCTTGTATCTGTGTTTCCTCCAACAGCCAGCCCACACACTCACATACACACGGGCACATGTCTGAAAGAACTCTCGGGTTGCCAAGTGTCGAGGATACAGCACTAATTAGAGTTTGGTCTCTTTGGGGGCCTCTCCTTTTAATGATCAACATACTAATCAAAGCTCTTTCTCCATTTGCTTGTCTTTGCTTTCTTTCGTTTGTTCACTAATGTTCCACTACATCCAGCCACACACCGGGCTAAACATTCTCTTCCCTTTCTCTCCCCCACTCCCCCGGCCCCCGTCCCTCTGTTCTGTTCCATCACTTCAAGGTCCTTGAGAATCAAGAAAGGTTTCAGGAGGTGCTTTTAGGTTATTTCTGCTCCAGTCGCCGCCATGTTCCACAAACACTGTATTTAATTTGGTTTCGCCGAGGCTGCACTCGTCTTTTCTCCCTCTGTTGTTTTGTCCCACGTGGGTCGCAGGCTGGCTGAGCGCCAAGTCCTTGCACCTGTCCCTCAAAGAGAGACAAACACACACTCACTCACTCACAGAGACACAAACGCGCGCAGCGTCCCGCATTGTCAAGGTTATGAGATAGCATTCCAACTCCGTAGTAGGAGGGAGAGCGAGAGGAGACACAGCATCGCGGAGGAGTTTGACTGGGTCCGAGGAAGGGACACAAAGAGGGCAGACAAGTAGTTGAAAGAAAAAGAGTGGTGTTGAGAAATGGAACCTGTAATGATGGCGGGAGAGACTCATGTGCACCAACCGGGGGGAAATGATGGGGAAACAGAACGAGGGAGATGAAGAGAGACTCCAGAGAAAGAGATATGGTGGCCTGCATGTCCTCCCCCGTCCTTAGGCACATGCTATTCAAGGCCCCGTAATTTGTGTCATTAATTAAAAAGATGATGGGATGGAGTTAAGAGGTTTGCACTCTGCATCTCCTTCGCTGAGAGAGAGGGAATGGGAAAAGGGGGGAGGGGGGCGATATTGCAAAAAATATCGCTGCCATTCCACCATGAATCTCTATTAGCGGCTAATGATACCATTCTGATACCTCTCAACCATTAGCGTGAAATTGGGAAGCGTTAATTATTCAAATGGAAATCTATACAGCTGCCGCTCACTTGATGGGGTCGGAGCTCTCAGTCGCTCAGGGTCCCCGTTGCAAGCCGCTCGGCGTGTGTCTTAAGGAGAGAGTCGACTACAATACGTATGCAGAGCGACACCTCGGGAGCAAATTATATTTAGAATTATTCATTATCTGAGCAAATACTGTATGGACTGCAACATACAGTAATATAATTGACTCGTGTAGGGTGTATGGTAAAGCTGGACAGGAGGATGCTGCACCATTGCCTGCCTAATGTTATCTACACTTTAAAAGCTGAATTACATGCAAACAAGCCTTTTGATTTTGGGGGTTTTCATCGGAATGTCAATTTTAGAACCGCTTTTTAAAAATGTCTTATCTTCAAGGTTAGGTTACTTGCTCGGTTTATTAAATGTGGTTCTGGCAGCTTGACCAATTAGGTAGACTGCCCCATAAGCCATGGTGCCTTTCCCAGCTTTATTTGTCTGGCAGGGTGAACCGTACAGCAGCCAGACAGTTACAAGCTGCATGCACACAGTTTAGTGAGTTATTATTTTGCCCAAACGTGTTGCCAGGAATTGACCCCGACCTGTCCAAGCAATGCATTCAGTAGTCTAATTTAACTATGGCCTGTTCAACACGTATCTGAACAAAAACACCCCTCCTCCCCTCCTCCAAAAAGTTTAATTTACAATTTAAATAGAGCAATTCAATTATTAAATCCCCTATTCATTCGTAAGCATCGGCTGTGTCTATGTCTGTGTGGGAAGCAGTTTTCCATCCCTGGACTAATCTTTGGATCAATCTATATTGTGATAAGTGAGTGAGTAGAACTTTGGTGTTTCAGAGCTTTGCTCTTTAGCCCAAACGGCTCCTCACTGGCAATTGTGTGAAGCCGGGTGTTTGCAAATCTATCCGAGATAATAAATGCACCATAACTGAACGTGGTGAAATGGCGAACCCGGTTGATCCGTCCAATTTAAGGGGTGTTTCTTCACTCATTTCTAAATGTGAGAGTTCGGTTCACTTAGTCACCGGAAGGAAGCGGATTTCAGCCGTTTTTTGTTTTTTTTCCAGACCCTTCTTGTCTCTCCTGTCCACAATCAAATGATGAGCTGTTTTCCTTCTCTAACTTTCCCAATTAGACAAGGGAAATTACTTTTCTGAATTATAAGTTGAAGCAGCAATTCGAGCACTTAAGGTGCAGCCTTCATTTCTGCGTTTAGATTGACGCTCGATACTCGTTATCTCTTTTTTACAAATCATTTGCTCGTTACCTTATTCACTGTTGTGAGTGTTGGAGAGTGATGCAATTAACTTTAACATCGTCATCACACAATTCAATAGAGTGCCGTGCACCTCCAAAATGTCTCTGGGGTACAGACCTTCGGTAGAAAGCTTTTGTTGTTGCCCTGAGGCATTATGAAACAGAGCAGAGCATAGAATCGGGAGCACCAAGACTGTTCTGTCCTTATTATATATAAATATTAGAGCAAGGTTTTGTCAAGTGTTTTGGAACAAACGTGCAAATAAAGGATCATTCATCATGTAGAGCCGATGAAGAAGGGAAACAAAGGCTCATTTTGTGTGACGGAAGAGGACGTAACTCTTTGACCGAGGAGACAGAGTTTCCTGACGTACCCTTATATATTTTTTTAGTTGTATATTTGTGCATATGTTTAATACGTCGGGGGGGGGGATACAGAGAGAAAGGCAAGGAGAAGGGAGAGAATGGGATGAGAGGATGAGAGAGCTAAGTGCTTTTTAGTGACTCAATGACAGCCGTGACCAAAATCGCATTACGGTCACAATGGGCGCGGTGGGGCAGAGCAGAGGAGCGTCTCAAATGAATCAATTCTCACTCTCGCTTTTCCTGGCGCTCGACTTGTGTCTGTGACGGCCTAAATGTGGACGTTCAGGGCTGGTGTCACACGTACGTCTCAGCCTATACTGTATTTGCAGTGAAACGTGGTTGGAAGTGACATTAACAAATTGCTTAGAGTGATCCCAGAGGTGACCTTGTTGCATCCAGCATCATTTCTTTCTTTTTTTTTTCTCTCTTTTGGTCAAGCGACAGTGGCGTGCGTACTCTCCGGTTGCCTCTTGGGGTGGCGTATTTCCTTGTCGGCGATTTCATCCGAATCCTGTATTCCATCTCCCCCGGCGATTGCCTGGTATACCACCTCTCACATCCCCACCGCTTAATGCCCTTTTCTATAGATCATTACCCTTCTCTCCCCTCGCCACTGTAAGCCATCGCTCAATCAGAGACGCCGGCCTCCCGGTGGTCCCCGTTGTGTGGCGGTCGCTCATGGGAGGCGAAGAGGCTTCGATCGGCTATTTACTTTCATTTGAGCGATGGGCTCCACGTGCAGTTCCGAGTTATTGGCGGATTTGAGTTGCGGGTAATGGTGATTCAGATGTAGCCCAGAGCTATTGTTGCACAGGCGCTGTATGGATGGATGTTTCCATGACAGCTGCGGGCACTGCCTGTTGATGAGGTGCAATGCTGGACCAGCGTACGATTGTATGATCTGACCCACACGGAGGGCTGGTTGACGGCTTCTCCCCCCTCCCCATTATTTTTCTCTCTCTGAAACAGCCCCACATCACTTGCTGCTTTTCACCGGCTCAACGCGTCACGTTCATAGCGTTCTCCTCTCATAACTTTCCCATCTTTACAACTTGCCCCCACCTGCCCTTATCCACTGACCTCCATACCTCACTCGCTGGCACTCTCCATTTGTAGGAGAGGACTCGTGTAAGCCCTGGTAACAGAGGTTAATCCTCACTTATTAGAGCTGGGATTACTGAAGGGGAATGGTCAGGACCAGGCGAACGCCACGTCTCACATGATGCGCTCCCAGCGGAGGAAGCAATGCATATGGCGTGTTGAGGAGAACGGTGTTTTAGGTGCAACACCTTTCAGCAATTAGTCTTGAGTAGCGGTGCAACAGCTCATTAAAATAACGGTTTGGATCTAATCACGAATCAGACCAGAAAAAATCCAATCTACATTCTACCTTGTTGTGTTTAGTTTTTTCTTAAAAGAAAATCTTGTCATTAGTGGTTTTAATGATAATGAATCACCGATCAATAATGTTCCTTACACCACATGTGTTGCATATAGTGCCAGTGCCAGTAGTTCATTTGGTCTTCTGACGTAATGTTGTAGGTTGTAAGTAGCAGCACAAAGCCATGTTCTGCTGCGGAACTGAGCTGTAAGTGAAACCTATTGATTCTCTTTGAAACCTTTATTTTACAGTATTGTGTACATTTAAAATATATACTAACACAAGCATACAAGGGCCTACGGTATTTTTAAGCATGTGACCACCATGAACAGGTTCGTTCAGTGTCGTATGTGTAATGATCAACAGTTTGCCAACAGGTTAATTTCACATCATTTAAGTAACAGGTTATCAGGTGAAAACTGCCGCTGTGCGCAGTGTGAAATGTAGGCGGCTCAATTTGCATACTAGGTCCTTTTTCTCTCGCAGCTGTACCCTGGACATATAAGCTTGCTTCTAAATGGCCTTAAAGTTGAATGATTTTATTGCTGTACAAAAAGTCGTCTGTTTTACACATCACCATCCCCCGGGCCTCAGTGAAAAAACAGAAAAACATCCTGTACAATTTGAGACCTGATTAACCTGTCTTTCTTCCAACAGGCTCATGTGTGACACAGTGCCTGTTTCTCTTTCCTAAAAGCTTATGATTGAATGCTTTTCGTGTTTATTCCACTAACCCCGTGTTCTTCTTATTCAGTTGTGTGACTGTTACAAAATAAAGACTTTTCCTGGTTCACACATCATTAACCTGTTCTTTTTTCTTTCTCTCTCTTCCCTTCATGCCTAAAAATAGAAGTGGAACAAAAAGGTAACTAAATGCCAACAACTTTTCTTCTTCATCTGCACTTTCATTTGGGCATAGACTTGTTTTTCTGGGTGACGGGGTGCTTAAGCAGGTGTCTGATATTGTGTGTGTTTGTATTTGTCAATGTACCCTTATTAGTTAAATGCTTCCGTTCATTTTGTCTTGTACACGCTGCAGCATGCAACCACATCTCACTGAACCTTCCCTCCATGTCCAATGACACTAACGCCGCTGAGCAGCTCTTTGGTCAGTGCCACATGTATGATAATTCTTAAAGGAAAGGTCATTACAGACCTCTTCAGTAAAATACCACAACCCTGGGATGTTTTTACTCCCTTTAATAACAGAAGATTATTCCAGCTGTGCTTTCTATGCTGCATAATATTAAAGGACAAGGCTATAGAGGGTGATCAATAGTTTGTCCAATAAGCTGTCAGCGTTTTTGATTATAGCTCTAACATAATGATGGCTGTAACCTTCAGGGACTCGATAGTCAATACTGGAGGCCGATCATAGCAGTCATTATTATTTTATTAGCGCAGCGTGATGCTCCAGAACATATACTAAATCTTCCCTTGTGCCCCTGGAGCCTTGTGTTGGTAGTGTGATCTTTCTACATTAGGTGGGAATGTGTTCTTTTGTCAGATGTTAAACACAATCCTAGATTTAAGTCTAAAATAGAAATAGAATCATTAATGAGGGAGGAGGGGGGGGGCGGGGTCAGCTTTAGTAGCTGTGCACTAAATTTGAGCTCTCACAGTAGTCTTAAATTAATGGCATAAAACAGAAACATGTGGCAACGAGCATGAGCAATGAAGCGCAAGGGGGGGTTCAAAACATTTCACAGCGATGTCCGTGCTGCTGAGGTAACACTTTTATTCCCAATGAAAGCCGTGATTGCTTTTATAACACTTCTCAAATACATTTCATTCACTTCTCCGTGCTTACGTCATTAAAAAGCCTATTTTACAGAGCCCAGTGTGCCGTCAGTACAAAAGCGCGCCTCCCCCATGACCCTGTAGCCCAGCACATCTCGTCTCTTTCAACCAATGAAACGGCCCTCTTAGCATTAGTGGAGCAAAAAGCGAGGCGCGTGCCAAGGCTCGGTGTCGACGGGACGCATCTCGACAACATGTTTAATCTTCAGAGATTACGAGGGAAAGGAGACTCTGTGTTCGCTGTCTCCTTCTCCTCCGGCTTCTCGGAGCGTGCAGCTTTTACCTCCCGACGGATCTGCGGCGAGAACCTGTCAGCGTCGTGTCAGGCTCCTGGCCCATTACAGCGAGAGGAGCGTTGACACACAGTTTTTATACGTGATGTACTGCAGGGCCCAAACCCAGGGAGAAAGGGAGAACTGTGCCGTGCAAATCCTTTATTGTTTCTTCCGTTCACACTGTGGCCAGTTTCTTTTTCAGGCACCTTTTGAAAAAAGAAAATATTTATGTATGTTCTTTATGAATAATCTTTTCTGTGTGAGTATATTAATGGCACGTGTATTTTTTCTTTCTGATTATTTGTTATGATGTAGAAACAAGATTCATTTTCAAATTACTGCTGACACTGTAACCCATAAGATTATCTTTTTTTTTTAAAGACAGAAAATTATAATTGCCAAAACAACGCATAATCAACTAAAATAAGCCTTTTCAAACGGTTTCCACTATTGGCCTGCTCCAGCTGTATCGCCTTGGCCTGGCTTTATCAGATCTGTGTACAAACCAGTTCCTATTCAATTAGTTTACTCAGCGGTATTGTAAATCCTGCTGCAGACTAGAAATGTCATGTGGGTGAAATAATGGTCAGGCAATCATTATATAGATGATGTAATTACTGTATTTGTGCCCTCCGTTTTTCATCTCCTAAAGCCAATAATTACAGCGTAGCTATTTATCCAAATCGTTTAACTTTGGGTTTGTCTGCTTCATACTATTTGCTAAAAACTGTCACAATAGTTTTTAATGAACACAATGCAACTTTTTGTTTTCTGTTGCAATCATACGTAATTAAGTAGACACAAACTAAATGGTGTAAACGTGTGTAAATGCTGGTGGAAGACTCAGTCTGTCCGTGGTAAGTTAAACATCGTCAACGTTTGTGCTCTACATTATGTCAGAAGATATAACCACCACCTGCTCTATTTACCCCAGCCCAAGTCTGTTCTTTTATTGATGTTGTAAACTAATTGCCTTAATGCCTGGAGAATATCTGAATTCCAAGTATCTCATATAGATATATTAACTGCATGTTTGAAATAATAAAAACAGTGGTTGCATTTGGATACTTTCTGTTTAACTTGTATTTTTATGTCAAAACATTTGCAGACGCTAATCTTTTTTGCATTTAATTGGATCATCCCGACACTGTGAGGAGAGTGTGACTCCACGCCTCGTTCTTTCATAGAGGATCAGATCGGGCTGCACATGTCAAGCTATCCGCATCCACGTGCTGTTTGTGTCATTCATGGGATAATACCTGCCAATGTAACTCTGTACTTGTCTTTCCCCTATTTTGGCTCCTCAGTATTCCTGTGCCCAGGGCTTCTGCGCAGGGTGTACCAGAGCGAGCACCTCTTTGAATCGGACCACCAGTCAGGAGCCTGGTGCAAAGACCCGCTCCAAGCCTCCGATAAGATCTACTACATGCCCTGGACGCCGTACCGCACCGACACCTTGACCGAATACTCCTCCAAAGAAGACTTTATCGCCGGAAGGCCGACCACCACTTACAAACTCCCGCACCGCGTGGACGGAACGGGCTTCGTGGTCTACGACGGGGCGCTCTTCTTCAACAAGGAGCGCACGCGCAACATCGTCAAGTTCGACCTGCGGACTCGCATCAAGAGCGGCGAGGCCATCATCGCCAACGCCAACTACCACGACACATCGCCGTACCGCTGGGGGGGGAAGTCGGACATCGACCTGGCCGTCGACGAAAACGGCCTGTGGGTGATTTATGCCACCGAGCAAAACAACGGGCGCATTGTGATCAGCCAGCTGAACCCCTACACGTTGCGCGTGGAGGGCACCTGGGACACCGCGTACGACAAGCGCTCGGCATCCAACGCCTTCATGATCTGCGGGATCTTGTATGTGGTGAAGTCTGTGTACGAGGACGATGACAATGAGGCGACCGGGAACAAGATCGACTACGTCTACAACACAGAGCTGAGCAAAGATGGCTCCCTGGACATCCCCTTCCCCAACTCCTATCAGTACATTGCCGCAGTGGATTACAACCCCAGGGACAACCTGCTGTACGTTTGGAACAATTACCACGTCGTGAAGTATACTATGGACTTTGGAGCGCTGGACAACAGACTCGGTAAGGCCAACTTCTCTTTATTCCCTTAATATTAATGCATGTTAAGATGTAAGACGATCTGTTCTGATCTAGTTTTTTTACACATACATTATGAACCAAAGATTTTATTTCTGCAAAATGGCAAAGACATTGGTACTTGTGGCCGTCCTTATATTTGTTTTTAGCAGAATATATTGTAAAATAAATACAAGAATATTCACCATATTTTCCTTTGTTATAATTCAATTCAAGTTAATTTAAATGAGTATTCTTAGATATATTTTGTGACCCACTCATATTCTTCGAGTACCAACCATCTTTCCACCTTGCCACATCACAAGCGATTTAGGTGTAATTTTCAAATTATTATGCGAATCCCTTTCTCGGGGGATGAACCTAGACGGTCATCCACGAATCCAGCTGACACCCCCAACAGGCTTGTATCGTCTTGTATAGATCCAAAGCAGAGCTAAAGTAGCATAGAAAGCTTGATAATTACATACCGATAAGAAAAGAAAGTCAAATCCAGTACAAAAAAGATCATTAAGAGAAAATGAGAAAGAACGGTGTAGATCAAAAAATACAAATGAAAAGGGTATAACAAGACCCTAAGAATCTTAAAAATAATAAATAATGTTTACACTATTTCCCTGACACATTCATGTTTCCAAATAATTGAATACCTTTGCCTGTAATGACCCATTTGATTAACACGCCTGGAGATCTCATTCCACCCGCCTCAAACAAGCTACATGCTTTGCCTCGCTAATTGAACGGCTCTAAGAAAAGCAAAATTCTCAGCATGCTATATGTCTTGCTCCACACGTTTGTGGGACGCAAAGAACAGCTTGGCATGGCAAGCGTTTGTGATAATTGGCTTCATGGAATGCTGCTTGATGTGTTACTGTGGTATTTTTTCCTTCATTATCGAAGGGAAATTGGAATAAAGTTCACTTGAGATAGCTTCTGTTGATACATACGAGTGAGTAGTATAAAAGCATAGCTGGCAGTCCCATGACGTGCCTCACCTATTGTCTTTTGATAACTGGGAGTTTAATAAAATGTCCTCACTCTAGCTGTTGTCTTTGGAAATGAACAACTGCTCACGTTAGACTTCCAAAAACTTCTCTTAAGATTTCTCCGCTCCATTGTTCTTTTTATAAATTGGCGCTTGTTTTGAAGCATGAAATGAAAAAAAGAATCTGTTTTGACACACCATGGTAATTCTTCTCATCAACAGCTCTAGTCAAAAAAGTTATTTGAGTGCGAAGTCCCTACCTCTGCTTTCTCCTCGGGAGCTTTCTCCACCTGCCGCTTGCCAGTTTCGTTTATTTCCCTTCGCCGGCTGCTACTCTACCCCGACTCTTTTTTTCATGCGCCCGAGTCCTGCTTCAACACTCCCTGTAATGTATTCATCCATTCACTGACCATGCTTACAGCGTTTGGTTTTGATAATACACAGCTACTCGTAATATAATTTGTTATAGTTAAGGGGAGTGAAATGATGTTGTAATGTGCTTTCGGTATTAAATGATTATCCGTCACTTTTTAACACTGATACACAATGAACACACACACACACACACACACACACACGGCAATGCCAATTCAGATGCAAATGCAAGCCTCAGCATTACACTTTCCAGTGAGATGTTCACTCGTGTCTGGCCGCTGCTGTTGTGCAGAATAAGCTGCCAAGTGGAGAAGCTGCTGCATGAATATAGATAGTAAAATGTTACATTAAGTGGATGGAGTCAAAGAACATAATACAAATGTCAGATAAACATGCTGATATGAAATATAAGGGTGATTGAATGGACTGTAAAGCATTTAATTTAGTGCACTCCCAGAGAAAATGCAAAAACTGACTATGCATACTTATTGTGGTACAATTAGGTTGTTGGAGTCTGACTAGGAGCCTAAATGTGAGATCCTAGAATAGTAAACTCAAAATTGGTTGATTCTGTGCCAGCGTAGACTAATTCAACACGCACATTAGTACTGTACATTAGTGCGTTATAATGTTGAAACCATTTACATGCCATTGGGGTTTGTGTGCATGGATCAAATAGCAAACTGGGTGACGGGAGGAAAACTCTCAGCAAAGATGGCTACTGTGAAACTAGGAAAATTCACATACTGTGCTTTACCACGGGAACCCCCAAAATGTTTCATCGGATTATCGGAAGTTCTTTAATTTCAAGAGAAACGTAAAAAGGTTGCGGGGCAGGTAGTATTTTGTCAGCAATCATTGCGACTGCTGGCGGTGCCAGAAAGGTATCATTCAACTCGAGTTCATTTCCCCTCCACGAGCAAGCATGACCTGCCACACAAGTGGAGCATGGCAAGTTGGCGGCACAGCCAGAGAGAAATGGCGAGGCCACAGCTTGAGCTACCGTATGCCCAACCACATGGGCCAAGGCACAGCACCTGCCACAGGGCAGCTGGCAGGGACAGGGTGAGGATACCTGGAATAGCACAGGAGTACTACCTCCCTCCCACAATCTTATGCTAGATAAAGGTTAGTTTGTTTCTTAACCTCACCAAATGAAAGTGAAAGTCTAAATGATTAGGATGTTCATGAAAAGAAACGTTTTTAGTATACTCCCAGAAATAATCCTGTGCTGATCAGTGCAGTTGCTGAAGTCTATTCAACAGGGAGGCTGTTTTCAAGGACGGATGATCTATGCCCAAGAGTGCTTCCATGACAACTCGATTGATAATTGAATTCACTGAATTGGGGATGAAAAAACGAGGCTGCACAGACTGCTATTACCAGGCAGATATAAAAGCTCTCCCACCATTAATCCACTTCACATGATCACATCCAATGCCGAGTATGAAAGGACAACCAAGTAATTGCTCTATGATCTTTAAAAAAACATTAAAGGAATATACAATCAGTGACCAAAAAAATGTATTTTTTGGTAAATGGAACTTTTTGCAAACTCATTTGCGATGACGCTAATGGCCTCGCTAGAGGTTGCCGATCTGAAAGTAATTGTCCTCCAACTAGCTGTGACCCAGTTCTCCAAATCCACCATTTAGTGTTCCTCCTCTTTCATCAGTGCGTGATCCGTTCCATCATCCCCCGTCCACTGAGCAAAGTTAGGATTGTTAGCTAGACGCAGAGGCTCACAAACGATCGGAAGGCCTGCTGGAAATCAGTGTCAAGTATTTTAATCAATACTGCCCCGGCAGTCACCTTTGACCTTTTATTTTTAGTCAAAACCATTACATAATCTCAAGACTTGGAATTGAACCACTGCAACGAAAGCACATTGGTTACAGTGTTCTGTAAAAAGATACCATTTAAGCATTTATATAAGTATTTTAGTCTAAATGTTCGATCAGGTTCAGACTGCTTTATTTCTCAGTGCGGATCGCCGTTTTATTCCAAAACGAAAACTAATACAACGATGTATTAGATTTCAAGGCAAATGCGATTATTTATTTGATTTGAATTCCACACGTGAAAACATTACTGCCACCCACACAGTCGTACACAAACACGTGTCCATGTGCATAACACACATGCAATCCAGATGTAATGGTCAAGAAGCCTGAGGCTTGTGCAATTGACCTTCCCTAAGCAAGAGAGGAAAGCAAACTAACAATAACAAAAGAAGCCTGAAGACATTCCTGCTGAACCTGGCCTCACCTTTGGAACCACGGGAAAGTTACCCTCAGTCTCACACACTTGCTGATGCACTCGTATAATTCCTGCTGATTACGCTGCATCATATATGTGTGTCGACTCTCATGCATTGCGTTGGCTTCACTCCCAACAAAACACTGTTAATGGAAATAGAGCAATTTGGCTTTTCATTGAATTATTTCATTCCAATTCCAGGATTCAGACAGTGTAGAGGAGTGTCTGCAGTGTCTATCTCTGAGACGTTGCCTTCAAGCTCGCATTCCAGTGAGACGGCGCGTGAGTGATACTGCAGTTGGAGTCATAGATACAGCCGCCGTCTGGCGTCCCTGTAATTTCGCCCCGTGTTGCCATCTGGCCGAGGCGCGGCGCCAGCGCCACTGGCCTGGGGGGAGCCTGCGGACGCGGTGCTCCGACCTTCGTGCCCGAAGCAGCTGATGTTTAGGAAGCTCAGGCCCGTCTTGGCTTTGGATCGAAGTGGCTGACATGCTAAATTGATTAAGAGCGTCTCTGCAGTGAATGCTGGCTGGCAGAGTCTGGTGGAGATAATCCTCAGTGTGACTCAGTGTGTTCTTAAAGGCGAAAAAACTGCAGTGCCATCGGCCTCCATTGCTCACACACTGGCCTCCCACACCTGTCATGCTGCTTTTCGATTGATACATTTTGACGCTTTACCACATAGATCCAAGTGAAACCCTGCAGTTGTTTATGGTCATCACAGAAGCATTTTTCTTTCTTGGTAACACAGCATCAAGAAATAAGTTGCGTCGTAAACGGGCCTTTTGCACGCTGCATGAATCCCCTTTTTGATGTCGAGGCTTAGAAATGTAGGCTACATGCTTATTTGCAGGCTACGCACTTAACACGTGCCCGGTGCACCTCGTGCACAGGGAATGTCTTCGAGGGAAAGTGCAAGGATTGGGATTATAGTTTAAAAGGATTTTTTTCCAACACGCACACACACACATGCACAAATGCACGATCTTCTTGCAAACCCTTTAATGCGGCAACACAATAGGGCTCCGTTAGTAATGCAGCTTTAGAATTTTTTTTTCTTTGCATGGAAACAGGGACAACTTTGTTGGTGTTTAAAAGCCTCTCTTAATGTTCCAAAATCCACATTCCCTCATGCAAAAATGCATTCTACTATAAAACCCTTGTTGCCATATTAATGCTATTCTGTTCTACTTATGTTCATTTTCTCCTGATTTGGATTCTGAATGGATCCGTTGAGCAGTGCAAGCTCATGTTACAAGTGGTTTCAGCATGTCTGTTTGTCCCGTGTGAATCGCTGTTGTCCGTCACGTGATATCGCCTGGTGTCCCTCCTCCCAGCTGGCCATCCGTCATGGGCCTTGGCAGCTCTG